TTTTTTTTTTTTTTTTCACATCCGAGAAGAAGAAACAGACAAAAACAGAATACGTTTTCAGGAGCGGATAACAGACGTAGCATCCTTTCGGAAAGAACCAAAAGATTGCAAACATTGCTACGCTGAGTTTCTTTGCAGCAATTATAACCAGTGGAAACATTCCGTGTCCCTACTCGCCTCTCCAAATTTTATAGGTCCTTTGACACCTGTTTCTCTACATCATATTTATCGGGCAAAAGAGCAAAAGTTTCCGGAAGAACGTTATCGACATCTGCTTAAAATAGCTTAAGGAAGAAAGAAAGATAGCAAACATTGTTGTTGAAACTGATGGCAATAATAGCGCCAAGATGAGGTACAAAAAGACGTAAAAGTGATTTCCGTAATTTTTTTCAAGGTTTTTTCTTTAATTCTACCGAACAGATAAATAGGTAGTGAAAGGGAGAGAGAAGTAAGGAGAGAGTGAAAGGATATAAAACTACACGTAATACAACTATATCTATCGAAAGTATAAAAGAAGACCCCTTTGTTCCTGTCCTCTTAACACCTTTTTAATATTACGGGCAAAATATAAGCACGATCATTCCAGTGTCACTGGCCATGCAAAAAACTATTCCTTCATTCTGTTCTGGTCATTCTGCAGAACTAGTTGGTCGACAGTGTCTTCTGAGTGAGACGAAAGTGGAACACAAATAATGGCCACCGCAAAAAATCTGAGTGACGTGAAAAATGGTGTAGCTAATTGTCAGACTGTCCTAGGAGCTAAAAAGCTGGCATAGACAATCACTTAGGAGAACCCAGATTATTACAGTGGTATCATGACGAGAAATAAAAGCAACTGTTGCTGAAAGCACCATAAAAACAGGCTTTGTCGCTACCGTATTTGTCGTTGTCCGGTGAATAAGCTCCTCTGTGAACTCAGGTTTGTACCATTTCCTTTTTCATCTTCGTCGTCCACTTTTCTATTACTTTACTTTATGCATCGTTCAAAAAAAGGCTTTTAGCGTAAGCTTTATTATCATGTTGATAAGTTTCTTACTTGACTAGGAAACATTTGCTGTTACAGTAACAGCGGTCATGTCAGGCAGCTTACAATTCCAGCACAATATTTCAAATCCCTCATGTTTTTAATTCTCTGAAAAAGCACAAAAAAAAAATCAGTGATTTGATATGAACAAAAAAGATCAAAGAATAGCATTAGAAAAAAGCGAAAAACTACGAAGAGAAAATCCAATGACTTGTTTACCCACTGGACAGGAGAAAAATTAGGAAGAAAAAAAGTGTCCTAATAGAGTGCAAACTGCGATATTCAGAGCAGTATAAAGTTCAGAATAAAAATAACATCATTCAGGTGACAAAATAAATTCTAAAACAAACCAATAGCTAATCTCGTCAAAAATCTTCTAAAACACAATAGGTATAAAAAAACGGACTGAGATCATTTGCTTATTGCTACAGAGTCTCTTAAAAAAGCAAAAAAGGTTTTTTTTTCTTTTTTTTTTGGAAAAATAGACAAGATACTTGATTACATTTGCTATATGCATAATAAATTTTTCAAGAGTATTTTGTCAAGGCAAGAACCCAAACAAATTATTTAGCTTCATCCATCACTGAGAGCAATGTCACGTTGATTTTAGGCAAGAATTTGTCCAAACAAAAAAAATCAAAAATTCTTAACTGGAAAACAAATTTTAAAAAAAAGCCTATTTCTGAAACCAAAAGACAGGCTAAGAGCAACCAATTCTTTAAATCCCTAAGACCGTTCATCGACTGGTCAGCTCTGTCGAGTATTATCCAGTTTAATCATAGTCCAAATTTTTTAGAAAATCTCCATCAGCTTTAAGCAAATTACCCCAAATACGCCTATCCCTGCATGTGCATGTGTATTGACTTGCCCATTCGAGTGCGTGCAAATGCTGTTTTATAAAGATAAAAAACAAATGAACGTTAGATTAAAAGTCAAAAAACGAAAACGGTTGAATAGTCGCAGTCATATACCTCTGTTGGTGAAAGCCTGCGCAAGAATTCCAGCAAGAACTGATAGAGCTGTTGGTACTAAAAACGTTTGTAGTTCAAAGGTCGTTAAATACGGCAAGCACACCCACGTGCATTCATAGATAAACTCACAGAACAGGGAAGTCCAAGAAATTTTTTTGATTCTGTTTTGCATATTTTTGTAATTTCTTTGCTAAAGCGACTGAAAAAAACAGTGAATGGAAGAAATAGACCAAGAATGAAATAAAACCGTTTGTAGTTCAAAGATCGCTAAATTCGGCAAGCACACCCACGCGCATTCATAGATAAACTCACAGAACAGGGAAGTCAAAGAAATTTTTTTGATTCCGTTTTGCATATTTTTGTAACTTCTTTGCTAAAGCGACTGAAAAAAACAGTGAATGGAAGAAATAAACCAAGAATGAAATAAACTGTTATTTTTTCTGCACCAAGAGAATTAAGGTAAGTGCTGACTCCTCTCTTAGAAATCAATGCCCCTCCCACTGATCTAACTTTCTACTAACGGTTATCTTGTTGAAAGAAATAGGGCACTTCCTATTCATCCGGTTAGCAAAATCTTTCTTCGATTGCTGAAAACCTAACAGACAATTACAGTCTACTAATTTTAACTTTAGCTCTGCTTCACTAAGCGCTGGTTACTAGCCAGCAGCTGTCACCAGCAACCGCAGCAAAATCTGCAGAAAATTACATCACCTTGTAAGAGTCCACTATTCACTACGTTTTAACCTATAGCCGGTTCCCCGAACGTCACTAAGATGACGCAGTGATAAGAAATGCTATGTCCAAATTCCAACAATAAGATACCTCGGGTAAAACACGCTTGTGAAGGATTTCTGTGAATCCTTAAGCACATTCGCAATACTAAACTGTTTCCGAGCTAAGTGTATTCACTCGTGTGACTAAAAGCTCATCTTTTATTTACGCTTGTAGAACAAGCATCTAATAGAATCTTAATGGAGAATTAAAAAGGAGAAGCCAGCAACTAGTAGAAACTTGTTAAAAAAAGAAAAAACAGCAAACGGTTTTGTCCTGCCAGGAAATCAAATTGACAGGTTAAACTGAATAAAAAATCAGCCAAAGTTGACTGCCTCAAAAAGATAACAGAGAAAAGTTACAAACACTCAACAAACTAGACTAACAGGTTTTGTAAACTCTTACTTTGTATTCTGGCTAGAGCTGACGCAAAAAAAACTTATAAAACTTTTCATATTCTCATTTGTCAAAAAGGACCACTTTTGGAACAGCGAAAAAAAGGGCTGACGATCGGCACATCTGCTACAAAAAACAAAATTATTTTTGCGGTGATAATGTCTTTGCCGTATATTTTCACGACAAGTAATATCACCTATTTATCCCTTTGCTCATACGTGCTCAGTTCATCAACCAAACGAGAACGGTAAACAGCGGTCAAAACATGACATTTTGCCGCAGTTCTGCTTACCTCTTCTTGAAAATAATCAGTTTGCCAGAATTTGCTGACAAAAGATTGAATTTCTGCAGTAGACCGTATTCTTACTTTGCAAAATACTATCCCTAATTAAAATTTTTCCTAGCTTTGGATGACAAAAAAAAACGATCTTTTATGAAATTCAAGAGTTTGGGTTTTGCAGTGGGTGTGATTGCAGAAGAAACCCATTCGATGTTGGTTCCCATGGGCACATACCTTCCCGTTTGTGTAGTTAACAAGTTCTAAGTTTTTTTTTAGTTCTCAAATATATAGCACAAATCAATATTCTTCTCCCTTTAATATTTATCAGAGGAAACACAGCAGCCCAGAGAACAGGAAAAACGGCAAACAAAAAGTTCATTTCATGGCCACTTGGGTCGAAATGTCTCTGCTTTCTCTCTGTTCTTTGCAGAAAAATATTCGACAAGATTGCTTCAGATAAACAGCTAGATAGTGCATCAGTTCCTGTAGTTAATTATCAGCCAAAACGCTTAGCCCAAAATTCTTCTCACTAAGTAAAACGGGGAAAATGACCAAAATACTTTGCAATTTAACACTGTCTACCCTTAGATTTCGACGAAAACTACTCACTGGTTATAGTTTTACGCGTAATAATAACTGCTGCCCTGGCG